GCTCTTTTTCTCTAGTTAAAATGCAGTAGCTTATTGGTCTGATGACTCTGCGTGTTTGACTGTTCCTCTCAACTTGGTTTTTACTTCACGTCTTCCACATGAAAGTTTTTTATTGTATGTTAGGTACTACACAGCATAATTTAACTGCTTTTAAATATAAGAATATGTTATTCTTTCTAGATATAATAACTTAGATGAAAGACTGAAGATACAAAGCTTGTTTGAAAGAATTTAAATGTGATGAATCACTCTCAGCAGTGATCAATAAAGGTAAGAAACTCTACTTTTGTGTTACTTAGTTTACACGGTTCAAGATGCAATGAGAATTCAGGTCTTGCTAGATTTCTGTACAGCTAATTTTTCTTAAAATCTCTTAGAATATAGTAGTTCCTCTCTTGTTTCATAAAGCCCTGAAGGACCGAAAGCTCAACTTTGAAAATGAGCCTGCTTTCTGAAAGTCTACAACTTAAACCTTCAAGTCAGTTGATCTTTTGCATGCTGTTTTTCATAAATTGAGTTGTTCTGAAAGCATTAAGGATTTGAACACAAGCAAAGACTTGCTGCCGTGAGTTATATGGTGATAAACCTGGTGGTTTTCAACTTTTTTCTTAGTTCTCTTTATTAAATTGTTGTAATTGATTCACTGTTTCAGGTTAGAAGAGAAACAGACAGATTAAAGCTGTTGATGATGAGAGAGTTGGTCTTTGTGAATAATTAATTAATACCAGTGCTGTATTTTTTCATGTGGTATCAGTATTGCACTGGAACATGGAAATACTTTGTGATAGTGTCGTAAATCACTTTTTGTCTAGGAATAACACTTGTAACAAAGAGCAAAGGGAAGAACCACTGCAGCAGGATATTACAAAGCCCGGTCTAAAAGGATTCAGTTCATGGAGTATAGGTCTTTCCATGCCAGCTTAACATAATGGTTTGGATTGACCCTCTTTGTCTTCAAAGTCCTTTAATTGATGATAACTGGAGAATATACCAGATAAAGGATCAGCATCCCCATGCTTTCTGGAAACTTAGATAGATAAACCAGATCTCTGTATGGTTTTAATTCTATTACATAGATAAATTACTATATGAAGTTTACATTGGCATATCCAGGGAGCAGTTTCTCAATCCCATCTCACAAATATACATAAACCATGAAATAAACAAGAATATTTAAACATACTGCTGGGTTTACTGATTGCTCTTGTAGCAGCATAGGGCATTTTATATCCAAAATCACATGCTTCAGGAGACAGGAAGCTTCATAAGTTTGTAAGGTGTGTAACTGGTGTGCTTACATTTGGAAGCTACATATACGGAGCTCAGAGATAGGATGTTTGCTCTGGAAACTAATGAAACATAGTGAAATATTTATCAGTGGAAAGGTGATAGTGTAGCTGGGATTTTCAGTGAGAACTTGATGGTAAGAGGAGAAGAGTGAGTTTAAGTAATGTAGTAGAGACTGCTATGAACTATATAAACCTCTGGAATTCTTTCCTGCACAGCTGCAGTGGCTGTTTGAGAGGAGGCAGAGTGCTGCACCTGGTGTCCTCAGTTACGTTTCTTTGCATTTGCTGGGGAGAAAAATGAACCTTAACCTTTGCTGAGCCTGGGGTATGGGCTTTGAAATTTCATTCCTAAGTGGCAGCTGCTGCTGCTGTATAATAACATACACTCCATTGTACCAGGAACGCGTGTTTATTAAAGAACTCGTATGAAACAGTTCAGGAGCAAAATATTAACATCACTGGCATGGACATCCAAGTGGTAAAGTCAACATTAATATAATATTGTTGGAGTTAAAAGCATTCCCTTGCTGTGTCTGCCACACAGCCAGGATTGGCTAAAGCTGGAGAAATCAATACTGGCTCATAGACCTCCTTAAAACCCCACAAGTATGGCCAGATACATTAACTTAAAAGCTTTGGTTTTTTTTTTCTTATCTATTAATTCATCATTGGGAACACAGGCATACATCTTAATTTCTTAAATGCTATTTTTAATTTTGCTACTATGCATGACAGCAGGATCTTGTTTAATATACTGAAAAGGCAAGTGGCTGCATATTTGCTTTTGTTTCAAAGTTACTTGATGTAAGTAAATGTTGTTAGTAACCCTTTACTTCTCCCAGCAGCTCTGTAATTTCAGGATAACCAGGAAGCTGTAAGCAAACAACAGCTTTTAGTGGTTAACATGGTTAACAAGTTACTTGGAATGTGAATGTGTTTATACAGACTACACTTGTGAAGGCCGTCGTAAGAAATAAGTACAAAAAGCCTCTTAAACAGTAATATTTAATTGGAAACACTATCACCAAATATCTATTTTGCAGAAATAATGGGGACAGAGAAGGAATTCTCTCATATTTAAGAAAAGGTTAAAATGCAAGGGATTATCCTTAGATACAAGTACCACTGAGAATTTGTGCTATTTTGAGAGAGCCTATAATTATACCAAGATAATTCTTCTTTGCTTCTTTTTTCATTCCTCTTCTATTAACTCACACACTGTGTCATGAAAATCTGCTTGTGTACTGTTGTAAATGATGACATAGTGAAATGGATTTCAGGACGTGGTGGCTTTTTTTCTTCAGTTTATTTTCAAGTTGTGTGAAAGTTGGACAAAACCCAAACAAAATATTTTTGTTTCTGTTATTCAGCTGATTCAGCAGCTGCAAATGTTTCTATGAGCCTTCAGTCAGTTCTTGAGGTAACTTGTTTGACTTGTTACTGTGAGTCTACCAACACTGACAGTAGAAATAATAATAAATTGGCAGGTATGATTGTCCCTCTCTTTGGTTAAAATTATCCATAAGTACTGCTGGCTAACTTGGTCTGTGGATTTAGTGATTTTAAAATGCAGTATGTGTAAATAGAAGTGTGTGGAGGTGCCAAGAAACTGGTGGAACATGTACTGTGTTTGGCTGCAGCTGGAATAGTTTGTGACAGCGTGGATTTTGAGTTTAGATGCATTTTCTTTTTCCTGGTGTCACTGATTTAGTATTTCCCTTTCAACAAGCAAGTCAAATGTCACATATCCTCTGCTCCATAGAGGATGTGTCTGATTTTGTCTCTGAATCTGGCCTTTAGGAGGTAAAATAATAATACACTGTGGTGGTAAAATAATAATACCCTCTGCAGTATTATACTGTATTATTAAAGAAGATTTTTTTTTCAATTTGGACTGGGAACACTGCCTGGAAAACCTGTGTTTTCTATCTTTTGTACCACATTTACTTAAGTTATTAAACGAGTATTTAAAGATCTATTTTGTTATGGTACCTGCTCCCTCTTTGCACCAATAACTTGCAGATGCCAGTTTTTATCTCAGGGGCACGCAGTGCTTTCACTGTGACTGTCGTTAGCTGCACGTTTTAATGTTTAAAAAAGGCTTTAAATCAGTTTCCTTAAAACTGGTACTCGACCTCTGCAAGCACTCTTCTCCCGCACCGCGGAAAGCGGCGCTGTCCGAGGCCTTCTCTCGCAGGGACAGCAGCCGCACGACACAAGTAACCTCATCTGGAGGCACCCGGCTTAACCCGGGAGCAGCCCAGCAGTGCCCGGGGGGTCCTGACCCTTGCCACGCCTCCCGCTCCGGGAGCGGTCGCTCGATCCCCGTGAGGCTCCGCCATGATCGCCCCCGGCGGCTGCAGAGCAGCGGGCGCTGCCCCGCTCTCACGTGACGTGCGCGTCATCAACGCGCGCCTCTGATCACGTGCCTCATGTTTATGTCGGTCGGTGCTGGCGCTGTTGTGTTTATGTCCGTGGCGGTGAGTGACTGACTGACCCTCCCTAGCGGCTTCCACCGGCGGGGCGTGAGGAGGCGGCGAGGCGCTGCAGGCTCGGGACGCGGCAGGGAATGGGTATTCCCTTAGGGGCGGCCTTAGGTGGGGTTGTCCCGGGGCCCGTCGCCGTGGCCTGGCTGGAAACGGCCGGGTTCGTCGGAGAGACCGGGTGGGCGTGTGCCGCCGCCCCTTTCTTCCCCGTGTGGGCTGCGCGCCACGGCGGCTGCGTCTGCTGAGAGCCGTGCTCGTTTGTAGTGGTTTATGTGCTTAACTTCATAGGAGTAGAAGGGTTACCGTGGTTGTCTTATCAGTTTGCGCTACAATGACTCGGAACACAGAGGTACAATCTGTTAGTCCGAGCTCTCACTCACTAGTCTTTTCTTTATACCTAGGCTCACAATGTCGCCACCACCAAAGAGATGTGGAAGGCCCCCAGTGCTGTCTTTTCTGGAAAAGAAAAAGAGAAAGCAAAGTCTTGATAGAAGAAGGGGGAAAACAAGGATTTATGTGGGAAATCATATTGACCGATGGTTGGCACTTAAGGAAAAGTTAGATTTCAGAAATGATGCAGAAGTTGCAGGGTTTTTACTGGACTTGTAAGTAGACTGTCCCAGTATTCCTCTATTTATTTAATACCAAGTAAATAATTTTTGACATTAATAGCAACTGCTTATTTTCTTTCTAGGTATGACAGCCGTGACCCCTTGTCAAAAGCTCCAGTCCGTTCCCTCTCTCAGGGTATGAGAAGAATTACTGTGAAAGAAGCAGCAGCATTGCCAGGAAGCGCTTCATTAATAGCAGCTGATAGAATGTTAGTAGTGTACTCTTTATACATGTGAAGGGTGGATGACATATTTTTCATGATAGTAATTGAAAAATGCAGTGGAGTTTATGTAAGAAAAAGGGAAGCGTGCAGCTAATTTTACTAAAATGGAAGATGTTTTTATATCCTTTGTAGAACAGCTTATGTATGCCTTTTGTTGTTTGTATTGTTGAGCACATAATATCAGTCTAGACAAAACAAATAAAATTATTGCAGAAAAAATGTCTCAGTTAACAGCTTGGGTTGTATTTGCAGGTATGACAATGACGATCAGTTGTCTGAAGAATCTGCTTGTTCTGGACTTGAAGATGTGAGAATTGTAACTGTGAAAGAAGAGGGGGAGATGCTGCTTGACTGCTCCTCCACAGAGAAGGATGACACGTTAGTGATGTTATGTTTTTTTTTTTTTTTGAATGTTTTGCATTTGAAAATATTTTGCGTTGGTTTTATTACCACAGTTAATTTTGTTCATTAGAAACTCTTGTCATTCATGCTTTATTAGCTAAAACCATGTTGGTACACAAGGGTTGGTCCAGTGCTTCTGAGGCAAGAACCTAAGAGAGACTTTGGAAAAGTTGTAAAGCTTTTAAGTGTACACACAGCAAACCTGCTTGTTCCGTGACTTACTGCCTTAATTGCATACAAGATTCACGACTGGGACAGGACAAGAAAATAGCCAGTACTTTGCATGTATCTTAGTCACTTGTATAAGCAGCTAGGTTTTTACAGTAGTACAGTCTCCAGGCAAGTGCAATTGTGTGTGCTTTAACTTTTCTCAGAAATGTTTCATTGTTGACCGAGTGATATGACATACAAAGTGACATGTTAACCTATCTAAAACTAGTGCCGTGCTCAAGAGGCAACCACATCATCAGTCGACTGCTGATTTCTTTTACCACAGTGTCATCAGTAACTGAGACATTCACATTTGAAATCAGAGGAGCCTCAAATAGGTATGCTTGTCCATTACTCTTTATTTAGGTTTCAGTTATCCACAACAATGTTACTGAATAATTGTAATTTCATCCATGATTTTAGTTATCTGACCTTTATTAAAATGCATTTTTCCATGTGTGCAGGGGTCCACTGAGAACGTGGGACATGACGCTGGCATTGCATGGTGTGTTCAAACCCCTCACTAACATGGTGAAGTACGTAACATATGCAGCGTGTTTGTCTGATTCTTGTTTTCTCTGTGGTTTTGCCTGTGACTTTCCTAATTCTTCTTACTTTTGATTTTAGTAGGTGAGCAAGTTGGGGTTTTGAATGCAGTTCTGTGGCACAGAAGAATTTATGAAGCTAGGTCAGGAGAAAATAAAGTGTTGATGAAGCTGGCAAACTCAAGTACATTCTTCAAAATGCCATTTTTCTCTGGCAATATAATGTTAGTTTGGAGTACAGCAATAATTGAATTCCTGGGACTGATTTGATACAGGTGAGACAGGGTTTGTTCTTAACTGATCGCTTATTTCAGCCTTCTGAGACATGAGAAATACTGTGAAAAGTTGTTTGGTATAAGAAAAACTTCTGTTTAACCTAAAAGGTAAGATATATGAGGCTTTGTTACAGTCTCATGATATCTATGTGAAGATGTTGAATAACACTGAGTATATAAAATGCTGGACAAATGATCAGGCAAGTATGCAGTCATAATTGTATAATGCTAAGAAATGACAGCTGCCTAAGAAGAGATTAAAAAATAAGAATGGAGTTTTATGGGACAGACATCCTAGGTCACACTGTGTTATTCTAGGGAATATTTACCTACCAGGAGTTGTTGAATGGCCTCTGTAAGGGTATTGTTTTGTTTCAGTGTCTAAACACTACATTACTGGTGATGTGTCTGGGTTTGGTTTTCATTGACAGTGTAGTATTGAGGTAGTTTCATGTTATTGAGGGTTTCTTACAATCTGTGGGATATCCATACTGGTGACTTGCCCAAAGTCATGTTGGTAGGTGAACTTGGGCCTTTAGAGTAAGACTAAATTCAGATGCTGACTTGGTGGTTTTAGATGGGTGGCCAAAGTTTTTACTTGTTGTAGAAAATAGTGACTTTCCTTTGGAAAGGAACAGTGGTTATGTTAATGTATACTTTTTTTTTTCTTCTTGTTTTTAAAGGTGTGGTACTGGACTTCCTGTTGAAGGGTGGAGATGAAGGCAGGTACTTCCTGCTTTCCAGGCATTTGGGTGTCATGTTTTCCTGTTGCTGTTATTGGTTTTGGCCTTACAGAGTATACTTCTTGTTCTATGCTGCTAGGTTTAGGTTGGCTGCACACTAACTGTAAGGAACTGGAAATATCAGAGATAATGGGGCAAGAACACAAAACTTGCCTGCTTCATTGGTGGCTTTAATGTTTGGTTTCTGTCTTGGTTTTGTACTCTTGCCTTATGATGCTAGCTTTCAGAGATTGCTGTTGTAGGGAATTAAGTTCATGGAGTAGCACTGAGAGAGTCAAGCATCAGGATGTCAAGGTTCTTGCCAGGTGAAATGGTATGGGTTTTCTGAGTTGTGGCTGTTGTGAAGAGTTAAAATAACACAGGAAGAGGAGTATGTTCAGAAATCTGATTTAAAGTATTATTGGCAGGGCATAGCTAAAGGAAAGTGTCACTGAGCCATGTCCAGTTAGATTCTTGGGTACATCCAGTTCTCTAATGCTTCTTCTGTTGTGAATATCCAACTTTAACATTTAGAATATTAACCAGTCTAGATGCAAATGATTTTTCTGGTTTGCATGTAACAAGTGTCAAAGCAGATAATAAATGATTCATTGGTTTTCCTTTAATGTTTATTATTTACTCTGACATTAAGATTGGAGAATGATGAATCAAAGTACTTGAACAGGATTTTTTGAGGAAACTTTGAAGAATTTGGGATTCTTCTGCAATATTTGAGTGATAGCAGTTCATTTGTTTCCTTTGCCTATTCTTTTATTGATGAGACAGTTTCTCATGGTAGAACTGACTGTCCTAGGACTTGATTCTGGGAAGTATCTAAGAACAGAAATGGAATACAAATACAAAATAAATACTTGAAAGTGTCACAGCAGTCTGGCGAGGAAAACTGAAGCCTGTAGGATGAGTTGTTGTCAGTCAGGAGTAACTGATAAGTTGGGAAGACCTGACTTTGAAGGCAGGCTTCAGCTCCAGTTCCTGTCTCTCCTAAAATGGTAGTGGCAACTCCTTTCATAATGATCTTTTGCTGAATGGCTTTCCTCAGAATCCTGGGATCTGGCATGAGTCTGCATTGCAGAATTTCTCTTTATCTGAAGTAACCTGTTGTCTGAAAAGTTGCATGGTTACTGTTCAGACAAAGCACTTGTAAAGTGTTAATTCCTTCCCTCAAAAAGAAACTGAACAACCATGAGGAAGAGTCTAGCAAGCTGTTAATGCTGAAGACTTAGCATGACACCATGTGAGGTGAGCAGCTGAGGACTTTCTTAGCAAGCAGGAAAGAAAATCTTAAATTACATTTCAAAGAAAGAGGGGGAAAAAAAAAAAACAAACCAAACCCACATGATTAAAGTAACCTGCTTAGTAGGACAGTTTCCTGTGCTCTACCAACAAGTTCATTTTTGATGCTTTGAGTAGTCTGCATTTTCAGACTCTCCAAGTTGGCCAAAGTATAAAATAACAATTCTTAATTGAACCAAAAGGTTCTGCAGGTACTGCTTTTGGTCTTTAGTGTTCATAGGTAGTTTTTACTTCAAAAAAAAAAACCCCAAACCAACAACCAACCAAACACACCTCCCCACCCCAAACCACAGCCTGTGATTATTTCGCTAATGTAACTTGAAAGCGCATGTGTAATCTGGCTCTTCCTTACAGAAAATTAAGATTGAGTGGTTAGTGTGACAGTTAGTTTAATGCTAAGTGTTGATCTGTGTTTCACGATAGTAAAATCTCTGTATATATGTCATAAAAATATGTTGGTCTGATTATAGGTATTGCACATACAAAACCACTAATGGAATTATTGTAATATTTTCCATTATTTTAAAGTCAGAATATTCTGTGAGGGGAATGTACTTGCCTAGACAGACACTGTGAAACAATGCAAACGTATTTCCTATTTAGATATTTGAATGGCATATTGTAACTTGTCATTATGTTACTTTCCAGGGTGAGCAGCAAGAAGAAAATCAAGCTCTTGTATAAGACTACTGGGGCAGTTTTGGGCCATTTTGATTTTGCTGTGAGGGTATTGTGAACTGTAAAGGATTACTGTAAGTTGTAGTATGAAATCCCATGTTACTTGTTGAATAGCACATTAAACTTAATTACCTAAAGTTTTATTGTGTTATGCTAGCATTAATAAAGTGTGTGGAGTGGATTATTTCACTGCGAGAGTCTGTACATAGATCTCTGAAGGGCAGCAAGAAACAACAAGCCAAAATGCTGGTAGGTATTGCTCAAGCTTATTCAGAATTTATTAACTTCTGTAGGTTTTGTTTATGAAAAAGTTCCTCCCATTTTATTTAAAACTCATAGGGTTAAAACAGAAGCAACATTCTGGTAGCAGTTGAAGCATCAAGCATGCTTCCATCCCAAATGTGTTTCTTGGAATGCTTTTTTTAGGGAGCAAATTTAACATATCCCACACCCTGGAAGGTATTCTTGCAGTTTATTGGTGCACTTAATGATGGGTAAAAATATTGAACTACATAGTGTGTTGTGTTAGTGCCTTCTGAAAAATGAATACTCAATATCAGCTACTACTTCAGTTATCTAAATATATTTCATTATTGACTAATTTGATCTCTTGATTTGGCTTTTGATGCTACGAAAGCTGATATATGATGCTTCTTAATTATTTCCTTCTCTTAACAAAGATGCAATGAGTGTGGAGAACTTTTAGTAACTCAAGTTCAACAGAATAGTGATGGCAGTTCTGAACTTGTTTCATAGTTACCAAGTATGGGTAATCCTGGCAAGTTTTTAACCGAGCAATTGTGAAATGAGCATGACTGTATTCAATATGTGTTTGTCAGAAAGTCAGAAACTCCCAGGCTTCTGATTTTTGTTGTCTTTAACCACACATGTTCGATAAGCATTTAGGTCTTGATCTTACAGTATTCAAACCAGCTGGGTTTTCCCATAAACTTATATTAGAACAGCCTCTCTCTGTGAAGAAATTCCCCTGATTAGGTCAACATTCAGTTTCTTCAATGAGCTACTTCAGCTGCTATAAGAAACTGCTGCTTTGAACTATTCTTTTGTTGCTTTTGAAGTATCAAGATTTAGTGTTGCCATGCTAACAATTTATCTTCTGCCAAATGTTGTACAGATAGCTCTTTAAAATAAAGCAGAGAAGATGATTTGAAGCTTTCTCAAAACGAAAATGCTACTTCCAGTATCCTTCTGTGTTCTCTTTTGCTATGTACCTTTCAGATTTTTCTTTGACTACTAAGCAGTCATTCATGTCTGTGACTCACTTTGGCTCACAGAGAGACTACAACTAGTGGCACTAGTTGTCAGTGAAGTGTCTTTCGGTGCTCTCAGATCTATTTATTTATTGTCAGTGACCTCAAGGGAAGAGGACTGAGCCTTCAGGAATGTCAGTTCAGTTTTCCTCCAAAGTATACAAGATCATAGAAGAATCTGCAACTGCAGTAGCTTATTTCAATAAGGAGCTCTGCCCTTCTGTGGCATTTAAGCACCATCTTGTCAGCCTCTTTTAACCTAGTTCTTGTGCCTTTGTAAATGCACACTAAAAATATTTAGATTTAATGACTTATTTTTGTCAAAGTAAACTTAATACTGTGAATACATGATGCATTGAGGTGCACTCACTATCTAGAATTACAAGTAGAACAATTATTTGGTGTGTAGTACTTGAGTGTAGTATGATTCAGCCCATACTGATGTTTTCCCCCAAAAGCTCCCATAAGACTAGCACTTCATGCAGAAGTCAAGAGAAAAGCAGACTCTGAAAAAATTCCTTTTGTAATGATATAATATGCACAAATGTTATATTTTGAGTTGTTATATCAATATATGCTCTTGAACATCTAAGTTCAGTAGAACATTAGTTCTATTTTAGTATTAGTATTTTCCAGTCAATGTTGCATACTAGCGAACTGATGATTCAGAAACAAGATTATTTCTGCCACAAATATGGCAAGAGCAATGGCTATGCTCATGTCAAAACAGCTGAGGAAGTTTTTCTGCACTTATGGAAATTGCTGAACTTGGATAAATTCAAATGTCAGAACTAAATCAATAGAAATTTGCACTGTTGTTCCAATGATATGTTAAGAATACACAGATAGAATTACTCTAAGCAAAACAGTTGGCTTCTTGGCAATACTGAGTATAGGTTTCTGACCTAAGTGATATGAAAATAAGGACATTTTTTGTATGCGTGTATAGTGAAAGACAAACAGTGGCTGTAAAAACACAGAACTCTTTGTGTGTGTTTTTAATGTGACTTCATTGTCCCAGTTGGTTTCTTTAGAACTGTAGATCTATGAAATCTTTTGAAATGTGAGTATCTAAGTATGTAAACAGAGAAACTTCCATCCAAATAGGGATAGGTTTTGTGGTGGAACTCAAATTTCAAACCATTACCTAAACAACTTAAGTTACCATGCACCAGTTTTCATACTATTAATTTTGTATTCTATTTTGCCTTTACAAGAAGTAGTGTAGTAAATCACAATAATTACTGTTGTGCTCAACTCAGTATTACACAAAAGCTTCATAGTTTTGTTTTTTTTGGGGGGGGGGAAAGGGGGCTCTATATTATGATTTACTTTTGTAGTAAAACCCTGACAAAACATGAAAGAAATTTAAACCAGCTCTTGCAGCTTTCTTTGTGAAATAAGTAGTTTTGTCAATTGTCACAGACACCACCTGGGAGGAGGGACAGAACTGAGGTGAGAGGCTGTAGTAAGTTACTCTAGAAAACAGTATTTCAGTGCCCTGTTTACTGTTTAGAATGGCTGTTTAATTCCTTAGCTCTTGTCTTACTCTGAATGCCTGTCTGTAAGGCTTGATCATGCAGTCAGAAGTTCAGGAGGCAGAATGCTGCACCTAGGCAAATTATTTAAGAATATAACAGGGATGTAGCAATCTGGTTTTATTCTGAATTTTTCAGATGTAGTAGATCATCTTGTTCAAGTTACTTATCTTCCTTCTTTTTTTATCTTGTGGTAAAATAGGAGTGAATTTCAAATGTAACTTTTATGAGGCATGATATGTAAGAAAGATTTATTAGTATAAAATACTATCTTAAGTGTAATGATACCTGTCATCATTTTTTCAAGATATTCTCACATCGTGTATCTTTTGGGCTTCCAAATCAAGGCTCCCAAATGAGTTTCAACAACGTGTCATGTTAAGCACATTCTCATGAGTCACTGCTGAAAGTACTGATCAGTAGATGGTAGAAGGGAAAATGCATCAAAGGAGGAATTCTAAAGGTGGGAGTAGTGGAGTTTCAGTTTGAGATTTGTAAATGAAGTGTGGGTTAGAAAGGAATGGTGAACCTGAACATGTTTTGTGGGTTGAGTGGTTACCTGTCTCAGGACAAGCCTGCTTCCTCTCTTTTCTGATGGCTCAGCAGAAGCAGTTAATACTTCATCCCATTATAATTCTAGAGAGACTCCTCACCACTACAGGAGTCAAAGCTGTGGGTAGTGAGGATTCAACAGATAAATTGGACGCTTCTGAGATCAGATAGAGCTGATAGGTGTGAGAAGTCTGGCATCTCTGCCGCCTCACTTAGATCATAAACCAATACTTTCTTCTGTACTTCCTGTGTTTATATGTAAAATTGATTGTATTTAAGATACCAAAATCAGTCTGCCTCTCAGTGATGTTTGTAATCACGCTTTACATGCAGTACTCAGTGTAGTTTTTTTCTGTAGACTTGGCTTCAGGTATCTAGACAAGAAGTGTGTTTGTATGAATGTGTCTGTATTACTATTATGTATGGTGTTTATAATAATATTATGTTTGTAACAGTAAAAAAAAAACCAAACCCCCAAACTCTGGTGAATGTGCCCTGAATTTGCAATAGGTAGAGACATTGATCAACCAGGGTATCTCATGTTGATTTATTTGATTGCTACGATTTTCTTAACATGCCTTTTGACAGACCCAACTTAAAGTGTGCATTATTATCAAGACTGTTTTGCATCATAAATTGCCAACATCCCTATGTGTTTGAGCAGCCAGAATCACCGTGAGTCAGTTATTCTGGACAGATGTGTACACTCCCCCAAAGTCATTTGTGTTGTTCCAGGGCAAAGTAGAGGAGGTAAGAGCAAAGGAGAGAATAAAGTTTGAATGGTGTTTAAATGACTGGAAACCTTCTGATGCTTTTAAATCGGTTTTTCTTACTCTTCATGGTTCTTTGCTATCCTATATGCTCCTTCTTGGATGGTCAGCCTTGTTGTAGACTTGTGTTTGTGAGCTTTGCTTAAACAATCACTTCAAAGCAGTTCAAGTGACCTGTTTTTCAAATGAAAATGTTCTGTAACACTGAGACAAGAAGTGCCATCTTCAGTAGCAAAAAATAAGATAAAAACCTATTGTGGTAAGATCTTACTGTCGTTTTAAAAATTCATCATATGATAAACTAAACCTAGTTTTGAGTGTAGTGCAGTAGTGCTTGTGATTCAGCTGTTGATCTGGGATGACAAACTGAATCTGTACAGAGCAGCTGGGATGCTTCTTGTGCTGTTTCTAATCCCAAAACAGATAAAACTACTTGTGGATAGTGAGAGCAATATAGTTAATATATACAAATGACTTGTCCTTTTCAAAAAGGCAGGCAAAAGTGCAGGTTGCAGTAGGTGGTTCTCACAGGTGACAATGTTTCTTGTCTTTTAAGGTGCTGCTGTGTGATCTCACCACTAGGAGCTTGGACGAGATTTGAGCACCAATATCTCAACAGACAGCACTTTGGTTGTGAACTATTATACACATTAAGGCAGCTGTGGAGGTAGCAGCAGGAGTGGTTTTATGTATGTGCAGAAAATGTCACCGTTCCTGTAATTCATGTAGCTCTTATCTACCTGTACCTAAAGCAGTCCTAAATCAGCATTTTTAAAAGGCTGGTCTTACGATAAAGATTTGCGTAACTTTATCTCAAGATTTATGAATGTGGTGTAAATCGACATACAGAAATAAGGGTGGGGGTTTGGGGATTTTGTATTTTCTTTTTAAAGCTAGCTTCCAAAAGCCATAGCCAGAAGAAGATCCTTAATCAAAATCTAAAAATGCTCTAGTGAATGTACACAGTGTTCCTGTAAGCTTTTCATAGCAAGACCGTGTGCTTATTGCGAGGTTGTGTTTCAGGGTAACAGGAACACCGGGGAGTCTGATGTGTGTTT